AGGTCTACTGGCAATCCCTGGCAGAAGCAACGAGAGTTCCTGCCTACGCCTCAGAAGTCTCAGCAGCAAGATCACTGAATCTCGAATTGCCAAGTAACGCTAGAGCAATTCCCAGTGCCCATCAAACCTGCTACTCTACTACAGAACAAAGAAAGAAAGAAAGGAAGGGACTTAAGCCTTTGTGGTCTGAAGCGATTATTTCAAGGATCCACCTGTTCCATTTTAAGATTGCATGTCCAAATCATTGTTTCAAGGCCTTTGGGGTTTGGAATGTTTTGATAATTGTGCCGTTCGCTTCTGCCGAAATCTGAGGAATCTCCTGCTATGCCGAAGCCTTCTTCTCCTGAGCCAGCACCACCTCGACAGGTAAAACGGTGAACTGGAAGGGTTTGGTCTGTTGGTGGTCGTTTCAGGACTCGTGTGAGTTGGTTGAAGGTTTGCAAGTGCGTCTCCACAGTTTTATCATCTCTCTTTGTAGGTGATGGAGCAGAGCCCCAGCGATGCACGAGAAGCTTTGCGGCGTGCTGCCGTTGAGGCGGCCAAGGTGCAAAACTGGCAAGAAATAGCTACTAGCGATGGCCTCCAACCTAAGAGCAGAGCCTGATGCAGACTGACAGGAAGCGTTCTTGTGGGAAAGAGGGGCCCAGCTTTGGCTTGAGAGGCTCTTCAACGAAAGGACAAGTTGGACAAGGCCAGTAAATCTTGCAAAAGGTGCATCAATTGTAATTGGTTGCGTACACAGAATTGCAAAGAATGCAATTCTGTGTGGGGGAAGGGCTTGCACAATCTTGCACATTTGTGTAAGGTTTGTCTTACTAGCGCACGTCGGCCTTCAATCCATTCGTTTGCATTGTGATGTCCGAGTTTGATGCGGAAGGAGAACCAGGCATCGGCATGGACAAGCCCCAAGACGAAAGGCATCAAGGGAGCTGTTGGCGCTGATCGCATTGTGTTTGACAGACGCCCGGCTCTTTGCCTATACTGATGTTCTAGAGATGCATCTCTTTGCCTTGCTCTTTGCTTATACTGTTATCTTTAAACTAGGAGCAAAGGACGCTACTAGGGGCTCCTGGCATCGCTACTAGGACGCTTATCTTTTGAGATGCATCATTCATTCAGAGATCGCCTTCAGAGACTGAAGCGAGCCAAACCAATCCGATTGACGAAGGCCGCGAATTGGATGTGGCGAGGCCAGCGATGGGAAGATCGAAGCCATTTGGTAGCCAAAGTCAGAAAGTCGTATTTAAAAAGAACGTGATTTCGAAGGGAATAAGCAAAGGTATTTCGATGGAGTTGTGTTCCGCAGTTTTGTCTACCAAAGGGCCAAAGGGCCAGGATATGCCACCGACATCTTCATCGAAACGAAACATTGTTTTATCGTCCGTTTTCTTGTAAAAGCCCGGGGCGGCTTAACTTTTGGGCCTTGCATTGTTTCCTTCCTCTATATTCTCTCATGAGGCGTCGTGAACTTGATGTTTGTTGAATTTACCACATGGCCGCTAAAGGACGCCAAATCGGCGGATTTGCCTGGGAACCCTGGAGTGTTTCTTCAATTGGCCGAGTGTGACAGCCACGCTCGTTTCCAAGGTCCAAAAGGAAACCAGCTTTAAGTGTCTTGTGTATTGGAGCAAGAATAGTCATGAAATCATGCTTCAACTGTTTTGTTTCACCTGTGTCCGGACAAACGGACGCTCGACATTCGTGACGAAGCTTTAGCCTTTGGGCCTTTGGATACAGACTTTGAGTATTAAAAAGAAGCTACTAGTAACAAGGTGCCTTACTAGTAGTAACAAGAAGCTAGTAGAAACAAGTGCATCGCTATTAGTAACAAGGTGCCTTAGTATTTGATTCAATAAAAGAAAGAAAGACATCTTGTTCCTAGTAGCTTCTTGTTACTACTAGTAAGGCACTTGTTACTAGTAGCGATGCACTTGTTGCTAGTCATATTCAGATTCAATTGTTTTTGTCTATCTTTTTTTTGGAGTCAGAAGAGTTTCCACTTGTTTCCTTGGTCCACTTGGGCTTTTTGGGTGACGCCAAGGTTCCGATGAAAGCCCCTCACCCTGTCCCAGCACACGCTCCATGCCGTGAGTCCCTGAGTCAGCGAACTATGCGAAGATGGAAGTTGCGAAACCTTAAGTCTTCGATGTGGACAAAGTATGACGCTACTAGGGGCTCCTGGCATCGCTACTAGGAGCAAGGACGCTATACGACAAAGCATAAGAAAGGATACTTATATAGACTTTAAGGCTTTAAGGATCCTTTTAAGACGTCCTTTGTTGTTGTCCCACTTCATGATGGACTCCATGTGCCAAGGGCTTTGCTCACCTACAATTCGAGCAAGTCGATGCGGAAATGGGGGATAGGCGCGCTGTGTGTTGCTGCCATCGAGCCACCAACTCGAATGAACTTCTGGTTCTTACAATAACCTCCAACCTCACTGTGATGGCCTCCAACCTACTATCGTACAATAGTACAAGAGAATACAAGAGACTGTTCATTGAAAACAAACGCTCGGTGTGAAAAGCACTCTGTCTAAGCGTGTAGCCATGGTTTGCCTAGGCCAAGAGCAGACCACAACACATCACCCCTATCGCCTGAAATTTCACAAGCCGTCAGCTGCTGGCAAACTGAAATCTTGTCAACCCTCAGGTCTCTCAACAGTTTGATTCAACATTGCCTTTTCAAAGCCACACAGGATTGATCATGAAAATCTTGGAACTGGTAAAGGTAGCCAGCAGGTGGGTGATAAGCAGAGCAAGTACATGTGACGACCAGTTGCTGCAGTTTGGTCCAAAGTCGTGTCCTCCTAGCATTTGTTTGTTTCTCACTCGTGTCTAACTTGACTGAATGACAAAGCAAAGGACTTCTGAAGTGCCCCATGCTACTAGAAGATTGGCTTGCTTTCGACAGAGGGCCCCTTATTGGCGATGCGATGGTGAGGAAAGGGCGATGCGGCGATGGGCCACGTACGACTCAAGCGGTAACAAGGGTTAGCAACGAAGGCACACGAACAAGAGATGCAAGGTTGGAGGCCGCAAAGGACGCTTCTAGGTGCTCCTGGCCGTACTAGGAGCAATGTTCGCTACTAGGGGCTCTAGATATCCCAAGATGTACAATTGGCCACTGACGAATATGTTTGGGAGAGACATTTACAAGCACCCCAAGAGCTGCCCCGCAGCATCAAGGTCAACAACCGGAGAATATGTTCACTGAGATAGAAACACTGAATCCAAAATGACTTCCGAAAGGGTTGTCGTGGCACCCTCTATCTGACACAGGAACCTTGTTTTCTCAACCAGCACCTCGAAACACCTGGGACATGTTGAACACAAAAGCCACCAGCAAAACTTTCGTTGTGGGCCAACTCCACAACATTGGTTCTCTTGATCCACACATCAAAGCGACATGCCATCTGTGGCTGTGGCCCAACTCCTTGGAATATCCTCCGATGGGAAAGCTTGTGCACCAGCTGCTTTGCAGCTTTCCTTGCTCCAACTTGAAGACATGGCCAACCGTGGAGTGCGTACGGGGCAGGAAGTAAGAAAACAACCTCAAATGCAAGACTCCATGAACAGTTTGCTTCTGTATGTACTGCATGGCATGGCCGCTGGTCGCTAGCAAGCACGCGGTCAAGCACCAAACTCTAACAGGACGCACCCCACATAGCCGAGGGAACTGACACTCAAAGAGGCAGGAAGCACACAAAGGCAGCAGAACCCCTCACTCGATTTACACACCAAAACACATCATTGCATGAACGTCGACTGCAAAGCTGCCAAGCAGCGGCAGGATTGCTCGGAGAAACGACAATCGGACCGAATCGGTAGTTCATGAGGGAGAGATTTTTCACCGCCAAACTCACACGGAGGGGAGGAGTTTGGGGTTCTGAGTGCCCGATGCTAGGAGCAAAGGACGCTTCTAGGGGCTCCTGGCCGCGCTACTAGGAGCAAGAAGCTACTAGGGGCTCCTGGCATCGCTACGCGGAGCAAAGGACGCTACTAGGGGCTTGGAAGTTCTTTCTTTCCATCGAAAGCTGCTGGCTGCCAGGCAGCTCGCCTCGGCGATGCCCAAAGTTGGGAACCCCCACGCGCAAGCAGGCTGGGTGGTGGAGGGTGGGGAGGGCTGTGGGTCCAGCCTTGGTCGGCAAACTTGGACAGAGAGAGAGAGAGAGAGACGAACAGGGTACTCAAGTCGGTGTCGGGCATAAAGCGAAGTTGGTAGAGTCTCAACCGACTGGATAGGGCTCAAGTCGAATGCCTACACGCTTCGTTCTTTCACAAATTCAAATTGCTAGTTGCAAGACCTCAAAATCTACAGATGAAAAAGAGCAAGAAGAAGAATGGAAAGGAGAGAAGGAACATTAGAAGGGACCCAGTTTTGACGTGTTCCTCTCCCCAGCCCGTGACTGTCCCATGTCCATGTTGCAAGGCCGCTGTGGACGGAGAGTTTTTGAGATCTCCGCACAGGGCTGAGCATGGCTGAGCAGCTCTTCAATCCATTTCACATGCAAAAACAAGGAATGGCCATTTCACATGTTTGTTGGCCTCCAACCTACCAACCTAGCGATGGCCTCCAACCTAGAAGTGATGGCCTCCATCCTACAAGCCATGGCCTCCATCCTACTAGTGATTGCCTCCAACCTAGCGATAGCCTTCAACCTAGAAGGGATGGCCTCCAACATACAAAAGCAATGAATTGACATTCTACATGTTTGTTTTAGGTCGCGAGTGCTGTCTGTGAGGATCCCAGCAAAAATGGGTCGACCTTAAACTGTCAAGCGAAAAGAAGGAAACAACCTTCAGTTGATGGCTTCAGCTTGTGATGTCTTCGGTGTGCTGCTGGATCAAGGCTTGCATACGTATCACATCATGGATCATGCCATTTTAATTTGACGGATAGAACGGACTCAGCAAGAGCACGTGAAGCGTGACAGAGTTAAAGAGACATGCTGCAGAGGAAACAAATGAGTACCAACTATCCTCCAGTTTGGAAGACTCTTCAGGTGTTCAAGTTGTTGTTTGAGGGCCTTTCACTTCTACCGAGCATGGCCGCGCTTGAGGAGTCGAGGACCTGTGCCAACATGGAAGCATTGCTGGACAGTTTGCTGCAAAGCGAACCGGATCTTGGAGATCCTTTGGGATACAGGCTTGCATGGGGTAAGCTCAAGGTAGATCAGTATCCGATCATGACGACAAAGCAAGTGGATGCCTTTCGCAGAGATGGGGCTGTCTTGCTGAGCTTTGGTGAATCCAGAATCATTCAGGATGACACGCTGAGGGTCACTCCCTCAACCAGACAAACCGGCAACGTGGGCCTAAACACAGTGGCAGATTACATGCTACTTGCTGTTGCGAAGCAAGTGGTCCAGCTGATGCCAGCTGTGGTATGTGACGTGCAAAGCTTTGAAGAACTCTATGATGGTCGGCTCATTACGGACCCTTAGCTGCCTTGGCCACCCTGAGTAGTTCTTCTCGCTTTTCTTTGCTTTTAGCATCCGTTTTGCAGGCTTCTAGCCCTCAAGAGCTCTCAAGGCTTCAGATCCGGTATTTTGTGTTATTGATTTTCACGCGAGCTGTGCTTAGCGTTTAGGAGCTTTGCTGCAAATTGCACAGCTTGCACAAGGGGCATCGCTACTAGGAGCAAGAACGCTACTAGGCGCTCCTGGCATTGCTACTAGAAGCAAAGACGCTACTACCATGGCACCCAGGACATTCTTCCGGAAGCCAAACACACCACCTACGATGGAAGCATCCGCGAGAGGGACCACACGAGAGTACTTTGGCGAAACCGAAGAATGGTATGAATAGGACGTTAAAGGACTCAAGGCCTTCGCTATTGGGACTTGACCGCTGATTCCATGATTTTACACGAGTGCTTTTGGGTCTCTAGCCATGGAAAGCGAGGTCAAGGAAGACGCGATGCGTTTGCATGTCGATGATTGTGACCACCTCTTGCGAGCTCCAGTTCAGCTCCTGTTGGGCATCAAGAATGCAACTTGCAAGCATTCTTGTGAGGGAAGAAGGAAAGAAATCGAGAAAGAGAAGGTCTAAAGGTCTGCAGAACAAAAAGACGAAAGAATGGAAAAGGCGATAGACATAGCTTCTGTAATTAGTATCTTTCTTTTGAGTAGTAAGGACATGTAAGCACAGTGGTGCCTAGGATCCAAGATCTTTCCAGGGCACTGACAAACGAAGGGTGTAGCTACGTCCAAACCAAGACTATGGAAGCCCTTGAGAGCTTGGTGAGCTCGTTGACTGTGTATTTCTCCACCAAATGTGGCTCCGTTGAACAGAGCCTTTGGGGAACACTTTGTTCTTTTTTACCTGTCTCGTTTGCAGTTTCAGCCAAGTCTTCGGTGCAACAAATTGAAAGATGTTGTTTTTCCCCACATTGACGTGTGGGGTTTGTATTTTTGGTGTTGTAACCGTCCCGCCCTCCGCCTCCTCCCGCCCTCCGCTTGCCATCAATCACTTGTCACACCAACCAATTGCCACCAACCAATTGTCATCAACCAATTGTCCTCGACAAATTGTCACCCACCAATTGCCACCAACCAATTGTCACCAACCAATTGTCCATCCACCAGCTAATTGTCTTCTCCAAATGGGGCAGATGTACGCCGGGCGCTGGCTGGCCGGTGCTGGCCGGTGCTGGTGGGTCTCTGCCCTTCTTTTTAAAACATGGTCCTCAACCAATTGTCATCAATCACTTGTCACACCAACGAATTGCCACCCACCAATTGTCACCAACCACCTACGCAGACATTCTCTCTTGCTAAGTTGCTAACATGTGGGGTTATCCGGCCCTACAATGTTCATAGCTACTGGGCCATCGCAGCCATCGCTAGTAGGTTGGAGGCCATTATTAGTAGGAGCAAGGACGCTACTAGGGGCCCCTGGCCCTACTACTAGGAGCTACTAGGAACAAAGGGCATCACTACTAGGAACAAAGGGACGCACGCTACTAGGGGCTCCTGGTCTTACTACTAGGAGCAAGAAGCTACTAGGGGCAAAGGGCATCGCTACTAGGAACAAAGGGACGCACGCTACTAGGGGCTGCTGGCCTTACTGCTAGGAGCAAGAAGCTACTAGGAGCAAAGGGAACCAGGGGGGCGCACGCTACTAGGGGCTCCTAGCCTTACTACCAGGAGCCAGCTGCTGGACCTGCTTGTCCAAAACCCAATCTGAAACATTCGAACTCATGCAATTCAAAGCAGCCGTGTGTGAGGCTGTGCGCCTCGGCGCCGACAGGGAGGCCCTCCAGCCACGGCACGAAACAGTCGTGTCGTGGCTGCGAGTGGTCGTGGCCCATTGGCGTGAAGCCGAATACGCCAACCTGCGCAACAAGGACAGGTAACGAAAGAGAGATCGCTCAAGGTATATCCTACTACTCCACGGAATTGACAGCTTCAACATGGGCTAGGCCAATACAATGCTTCTCTCCACATTTGAGAACAGCTTCCGTCAATCCAGGCGAGGGAGCGCCGCTCCCAAGCCCAGCTCGCTACAGAGCGAGAACTGCGGGCCAAACTCAAGCGCTTCGAGAGGGCGCAGCGGGCTTGAACGCGCGCAATTCAAATTCAAAATGGAAGCTTCAATTTCGCGCGTGAGGTGCAGTGGGAACGGGCCAGCCAAAACAACCGGCAGCGCCGAGCCCGCTGGCAACAACTCAAAGAGGGAAAGTCACAACAGGACATTTCCATTGCGCTCATCTTTTCACAAGGAAAGCCCATTTGCTTTGCGCACATGGCAGGACAAGCGGGCCTTCGAGGGGCTCAAGGAGCGAAACCGCCTGCGACAGCAGCGGTTTCGCTCCAAACAAAACAACGAGGCCGACACCGGGATACCTGTCAAAAAGAAATTGATTCCTATCAATAAAAATGTTCCCTATCAAAAAACATATTCGTATCAATATTAAAAGGGACACTAGTAGGGGCTCCTGGCCTTACTCCTAGGAACAAGGACACTACACGGAGCAAAGCGCATCGCTACTGGGAACAAAGGTTAATGCTGCTAGGGGTTCCTGGCCTTACTACTAGGAACAAGAAGCTACTACAAACAACGGGCATCGCTACTAGGAGCAAGGACGCTAGTAGATTGGATTGACATCTTGCTCCATGTTTCTCCGACGGGCGCCCGCAGAGCCCAAGGTGAAGGGAACGGCCACCACAGTGGCGCTGACGCCACCAGATGCGGACCTGCACAAGGAGGGTATAGACCCTGAGATCCTTCGCAGCAACAGTTACAAGCACAAGCCACCGACTCACAGCCGCACTGGGCATGATAACAAATGGGTGTGCATTTTATAGGGAGACACACAACAACAAATGGGTTCTAGTCCATGTTCTTTCTTCCCGAGCGCTTTTAGGAGATCTCTCTATTTTAATACATATCCAAGTTATGATTGAAAATATACCGCGTGCAGTCTGCGGTCATCTAAGATTAAAGCGTTTCCGAGCTGCAATGATTGAGGAATATCCTCTCAGTCGATGAGGATGACATTCCGCTGCGACCTGTGCTGTACGGCACATCCGATGCCCCCCAAATCCAGGCAGATTGGAAATCGACGAGTGCGATTAGCGACCAAGCGCTGGAAGCTCCTTGGACGCAATGGGAGGTGCTGGAAGCTCCTTCTCGTGTATTCATCACAGTTCTCGGTCTATTTGCCAACCAAAGGCCTGGAAGTCTCTACATGGACTACTACAGAGGCAGCAACATGTGCCGGCAGCAATCAGTTACGATTAATCACTTTTTTGGGGGAGGTTATCGCTATTGGGTTGGAGGCCATTGCTCTCAGGTTGGAGGCCATTGCTATTGGTAACTCAAAAAGTTTTGTTTGATTTAATTGTTCTCGGTCTATTTTGCCACAGAAACAAGTTTTGAGGAAAACTGGCCGGCTCACAAGAGTCCAGCTGGATTTCTAGGTGCGCAGGGCCAAAACGTAAGTCTTGTCACTAGGACCAACGAAACGATGGCCTCCAACTAATGCGATTCCTTATTTGCACATGTCTTTTCGTTCTTTGGACCTGCGCCCTTCTCAGGCGAATTTGCACTTGGCCCAGGTGACATCCTTGTTGCTTGGACGCGCCTGACAAGCAAACCCCAAGGCATGAAGGCATTGTGCCGGCTGTTGGTCCATAATCTGTGGTCCATTCGCTAATTCAAAATGTCATGAGTATGTTCCTGATAAGACCCAGACTTACTTTCCGAACATTCAGATGTTGAGCACATTGTGTTTCAACCTCCCAATGCTAGTAAGCCCTCAGAGTGCAACAGGTCAAGCGCAAGCTCAAAGAATTCACCACATCAAATTCGAAGTCGGGGCTAGGTCTACCCGGTAGTCCACTCCCGTCAACGGACGTTGGTGACTGGACGACCCCTCCGAAGACCCCCGTAAATCTTCCCGCTCTTGGAGTTGTTTGTTCTGTCCTAGGTCAGGGTTTTGGAGTGCACTCTTTGTGGCATACACACGATGTTGAAAAGAACAAGGTACGAAAGAAACGCCATGCGTAAAGACCAGGGCCTACCTTAAAGACGCTCTTGGAAAGCCCATGTGCGTATTGCCTTCGGATGACGTTTGCCTTCAGACCTTTCTGTTCTTGAACCTTTTGGAGAAACACAGTGCGGAGTGCGGAACGTGCTTCTTGTTACTAGCAGCTAGCTTGTTCCTAGTAGCGATGCCGGGAGCCCCTAGTAGCTTCTTGTTACTACTAGTAAGGCACTTGTTACTAGTAGCGATGCACTTGTTACTACTAGCTTTCGGTCACTTCGTCGTGTGCTTTCGCTTTGAGGTCCTGGACAATTACCGAACACTTCACGGCCGTGGCGCCCTTGAGCCTGTGTGCGGCTTGGAGCATCGCCGTGCCTTGGAGTCACGTGCATCCAAGTTCCGCACTCCGCACTCTTCGCGTTTGTTTAAAAAGCCTTTAACCTTTACCTTCCTTACCTTCCTTTACCAAAGAATCTAAAAATCTAGGAACCACATCATCAAGCCTGAGCCCTAGCTTGCGTCCAAGATACTAGCAGCTATTTGTTCGCTTAGTAGTTTGTATCCTTACTTGCTTAAGCTGTTCAATTGATTTGACAAACTGAGTTCGAGAAAAGTGGAGCAAATTGAGTGGTTTCTACCTGAGTGTTCGCTCCAGTGGAAGAGTAGTGTTTAAGTGGTGAGTGCAACATGGTCTGTTTTTGCACGGAAAATAACTGGTTTCCGGAAGGCTTTATATTGGATGGTGTGAAAAGGTGACATGGGCCCCGCAGAGCAACAGTGGAGCATCCTTCATGAAGTGAGAACAGTTCCAATTCTTAGTGAACCATTTATTGCGATTTCTGACTTGCTGCCACTGTTGTTGAATTTGGTGTGAAGCTCAGCCAACGAAGAGCCAATCGTGGTGGCTCTTTTTCAGGTTGGGTCAAGCGACTTTGGCTCTCTGGCACGAACCAGGAAGAGGAACTGCAACATTGCAAAGCTTCGCAAGAACAACCTCGTCGCCTGGCTGCAAAGGTTAAGAACACTTTCTACCTTGAGACAAAGGCAAGCAGCTTTCCCTTGTGGCATGAGCGTTTGGCATTCCAGGCCTAAGGTTTTACAGTACTTGTCTATCCCTTTGTTTGCACTCAATTGCTTTCAAAAGACTTCTCCAAACATCGCGCAGATTCAACACCTAAGCTCGCCAGACATCAAGTCGGCAAAAAAAGATGCAGCTGAGGTGTGTTTTGCCGCCGCAAGGCTTATTGGAGCGGGAAAAGTAGGTGTCACCCTTGCTCTTCAACCTAAGAGCGATGGCCTCCAACCTCTACTAGAGCGTGGCAAATAAGTCGCTGACTTTTTACTGACTTCTGTGCCCAGAAAAATGGCAACGACACACCGCGTGAAGCTCACTCTGGTCTCTTCTCAGTGAGTCTATGAACAAACAAAGTACTGTATGTTTTGTGACTTCAGGGCACGGCCATAGTTTTTTGCAGTTTATTCTCCTGTACATTGCATGATGCGCTCGCAGAGACGGGGCAATATGTGGATCGCAGCAATCCTTTCATGTTTTGCTGTGGAACACCAATTCGCAGAGCCAATCTTCTTCAGATCGTGCGGAAAACGTGTCTTCTGGGAACCAGATGAATAGTGTGAGCGCTTCTTCAATTAAAACCCCTCCCCGCCCTCAAGCTTACTTAGCCCTTACTTAAGGAAGTAAGTGCCTACTTAGTTAAGTAAGGGTGAGGGCAACTTTGGCTTTAGAAAGAAACAAGAAATAACAATGACAAGTAAAAAGAGTGTTCTCCGCTGGTTGCGCCACTGCTGTTCCCAGCGTCCGCTGGAGTGCAAAGCATGATGCCCAGGGACCTCAATCACCAATCCGAGGTCTCAGCCCGGGCCTGTCAGACAGATTCTGTGAAAATGCAGGCTGTGCTGATCAGGTCTGATCCGGTACATGTCAAAAAGGCTCCCAACATGAAGATCTCAGAGCCAGTCCTAAAAAGTGCTAAGATTCGTCCAAAACCTAAAGGGGTTTAAGAGGAATTTCTGACGAGAGATTCTCCAAGGCCTTGGAGCTGAAGCTTGGGCACCTTGTCACTGAGATTAGACGCAGGAGCATTCTCAGATACGAGGAAGAAACATGTCCAGAGAAAAGAAGAAAAGAAAACGGTAAAAAGAAAAAGGAAATAAGAAGCTAGTAGTAACAAGTGCCTTACTAGTAGTAACAAGAAGCTATTAGAAACAAGTGCCTTACTACTAGTAACAATAAAAGGAAAGAAGGCTATGACAAATTGGGTCTGAGGCGATGAAGGTGCCCTGTTTGCCAAAGCGGAGTGAAGGCCAAGCGGGCTCAACCAAAAGTCCGCGAATGTTCAATAGCTTCTTGTTACTACTAGTAACAAGTGCCTCGCTAGTAGTAATAAGTTCCTTACTACTAGTAACAAAAAGCTACTAGTAACAATTGCCTCGCTAGTAGTAACAAGTTCCTTACT